CACCAAACAGCTTAATGACGCCGTTATAGTGTATAGATCATGTCCCTGCAGTCTCACTGCTCAATTCTCTGCTATTTAGGAGTTAAATCATGTATGTTTCTATTTATGCAGTCCTAGCCACACCTCCTCTGGCTGTGACTGACACAGCCTGCATGAAAACAAAACCGTTTCATAATCAGATGTTACAATCAGATTTAACTTACTTAAAAAATGTTTTATCTCCTGCTCTGTAAATTGAACTTTAATTACATACAGGAGGCTCCTGCAGGGTCTAGAAGGCTATTAACAGAGCATGAGATAAGAAGTTCTAAATTAAACAGAATTTGCAATAAAGGAAGCATAAACATTAGATTACTCTTTACGGGAATTGTTTAGGAAGGCTTTCACATACAGGAAGGTGTGACTAGGACTGCATAAACAAAGTGATTTCTCCTAAGTGGCAGAATTGAGTAGTGAGACTGCGGGGGGCATGATGTATGCACCAAAACTGCTTCAGGAAGCTAAAGTTGTTTTGTTGACCATAGTGTCAAAATAGCTGAACTGGAAGCTTTTTCTAAGTCAGCTATGCTTTCATTTTAGTTAGTTTGACCTTACATTTGAAATTCACTTTGAATTCTTACTTTTGTAAGTAACCCAGTGATTTACACCATACTCTAGTGAGAGCAGTGGTCACATAGCTTTCAGAGAGATGAAGGGAACTATCGTTCCACTGACCATCTTTCCTGTTTTCAAGGAAACTATAAAAGATCTTTGTCTGCTCAGATCTTTCTGTTTTGAACATGATTACCTGAATAAGACAGCATGTGAAAGAGTCAACACGGGGAGAAAACAGATCAAATAATTAGAACTTCCACTCCAATCACTGGACCAGCAGTGGTTAGTCCTCTTGACTCACGTAATGAGAGAATTAGAGGAGCTAATTTCATTCATATTTGAATGGGTAATGAGACATTAGGACACACTGGAGGAATTACGATATTGGAGTCTCATAAATGCCTGAATAACTACATAGAGCACTAGATAGTGTGATGAATTAAGGGTGTATTTACTAAACGGTAAACTGGCAGCTAATATGCAAGACTTAGATCAGGACTACTATATTAACATTTTTTTTCCAATGTATCTATTTCTTGGGTAAATGTAGCAAACCTGCTGTCTGTTTACCCAGTTCCTTGTTTCTCCAATTAAAAAACCTTAAAGGTCAATTCACTAAAATCTGGGCTGTAGTGAGCTAAAATCCGACTCTGCTATAGTCACAGCTTGGTTATTTTAGCTTGAAATTTGCCATTTAAAATTCCAATTTCTATCATTTGAAGTCTAGTGGATAAAATCCACTAATATTTATATCCACAGAGCTCAGTTTATCAGACCAGCCTTTCTATCTGTTCTGATTATGAGTGGTCTGATGAGATTATAGAGGGCATGGAATGGGCTAAATTGGTAAATGCTCTAGTATCTTGGTACCCTATAATCATGTTCTGAGTCACATACCTTACAAAATACTGAAAAGCATTCAGTTAGCAGCACTAATTAAAGATTGCACTGAACAACTACCACTAATAACAACTGTACTGCACTTCCAGTTACCCCACTGAATAACCACACATCAAACAGGATAAATATTTAATCTCCGTTTTAGATGTCTTAAAACGCTGTGTTCTGGCCTCTGTAACAGCACAAAGGATATTTCTAGTAATTTGTATTCCTTGCAAAGCCTAGCTCTGTTTCTACAGTAACAGTCTGGGGAAGTGGCATTTATATATATTTATACATGTTCAATACATAGTTTGAGACTTGGGCCAAAGCAATATGTGTCTTCACGAATAATCTACTTTGTTTTAACATAGACGGGTAAATGCCAAGCAGTAGAGAGGGCAGACGCATTAATATACAATGAGGCTTCTAATTGTATTTATTAATGTAAGTGTATCTTACTGGCTTCTCCTTCGTGATGTCTACATGAGTAAACAACATAAAAAAATAGCATTAACAACTGTAATCAGGTACTTCTGTAGCTATAGGTGAACTCCAAATATACTTGACAAACGTCTGTTCATTGAAGATGTACAATAGAAGCAGTTTAACAAACATCTGGACAGGAGTTGGTTTACTATTCTGTTCTGAAGTACTTTATTTCTTAACATATCATTTGATTAAGATACAACCGAGGAGACGAGCCTGCTCTGCTATGCACGTTATGCAAAGGGCATGACAGAGAGAAGCATACAGATACAGTAGGTTTTTAGAACCCGGAGGGCATGCGTACAATGTTAAAGTGCAAACAGTCAGTTTGGTTATTTGTGCTGATAGATAGATATGCCAGTACTGGGTGCTGTCTAAACAGGATATTCAATTTATGCACTGGTATAGTAATGAGTGGTGATGTGAACACACATATTCAGGTGCATGTGAGTCTGTTGAATAGGTACAGATATGCAACGAGAAACAATGGGATAGAAGGTTCTGGAGCTGCCTTATATACATAAACAAAGACACGTGTGTGTGTGTGTGTGTGTGTGTGTGTGTGTGTGTGTGTGTATATATATATATATATATATATATATATATATATATATTTATTTGATGTTATTATACCTCGCAGCAGTGCACAGATAAAATTTGCAGTGTTTTACAATATTATAAAGGGGGAAATTTAACAATAAATGAGATAATTACGAAATGTTGCAGGAACAACAGGTAGATGAGGTCCCTGCTCAAACATGCTTATAGTGTAGAGCAGTAATAAGTCATAAATGGTAAAATGGCAAACAAATTAAGACATGCACGGTCATTGAAATGGTGCAGACATGGAAAATAAAGGTGTAGGAAGTTATATACTGGGTGAAGGAATAATTGGGTAAATTAAGACAAAGGAGTATATTTAGGCTGCATCAAGTTTGAAGAAATCTAGCAGCTCTTTCATGCAAAACATATCCTGTCGGATTAGTGAAAGATATGCCTAGTAAATCTTCTTTGCACTGCTTTCTTACCAATCCCTGGTAACAGTGAGTACGGTCATGCCATGACCCAGATCCCCCCTCCTTCTTGCTAATGACCCAGTCAGTTATCATTTAATATCTTCTAAATAAAGCTGTAGTCCATGATAAGGTGTTGGATGAAAGGCTTTGCAGAAAGATATGAATGTAGAGAAATGTTGGAAAGTGTATGTTACAGTCTGTAGTTACGAAACTCCCACATGTAGACAAATCCAAGAGATTACAACATAATTGTAGATCTTATTTGCAAGTAATATTATTTTCCAAAACAATGAAGCAATATAACCATAAAGCCATCATAGATTTAAAGGGTTTCTCCAACTTTTAAAATAAATACATCCTGCTTCAGTGGTTATGATGACAGGAGTAACCTAGCCCAATTCCCTGTTAATGGATCCCCTTACTTTGCTCTGATACTCCCTATTGGTCTGGTGAGTCGGTGACCCGCTTCCAGCTTCTGCAGAACCTCAGAAGCCATGGCCTTTGCCAATTAATTGACTGACAGCTTCAGCTGACTGCTCTCAGCCATTGACTGTCATTAGCAGAGATTTGACATTAAAGAGACACTGTAGGCACCCAGACCACTTTAGCTCATTGAAGTGGTCTGGGTGCTGTGACCCTTTTGCACTTAGTGCTGCAATGTAAAATGCAATGATTACAGCCACTAGAGTGCTTCCGGAATCCAAACGGACTTTTGGTCCGTTATCTGACGATGTACGTCCTCAAGGACCTCCAGCATCAGATAATCCCCAAAGAAAATAATTGAATAATTGCCATTGCCGCCCATGTGCATTAGGTCTCGCCCAGCTGACATCAGCGGGAGAAACGTGGGCGGAGCCGGACCCAATGCTAAGAGACATCAGCGCTGGGTTCAGATAAGTGGCTGAAGGGTTTCCTATGGGAAGGTCTAATGCGCGCGTGACCATTGCTGCGCATGCGCATTAGGTCTCCCCAGGCTGACATCAGTGGGGGGGAGGAGCGTGGGTGAAGCCTGACCCAACGCTGAGGGACATTGGTGCTGGATTCAGGTAAGTGGATGAAGGATTTTTAACCCCTTCAGCCCCACAGGAGGGGAGCGCAGGGTTGAAGAGGGTTAAAAACCCTATTAACCCTATAGTGCCAGTTAAACAGCTTTGTTTTCCTGGCACTATAGGATCCCTTTAACCAGCCCGGGACTTGTTCCTGGCTGGCAAATGAACCTTAATAACACTGCCAAAAGTGGGTAAAGCTCAGAGGGGTTAAACTCTGTATGTGCAGCATTCCACAGCATGTTGCTGCACATACAGACTCCAGGCACCATAACTACATTAAATCACGGAAGTGGTCATGGTGCTTGGAATAACCCTTTAATGGAGAGTCATATATGTTTCCTATCTTGAGCTTGCTTCTACATAATTTACACAGGGTTATTTACATAGGCGTGCGCACGGGATGTGCCGGGTGTGCCTGGGCACATCCTAATCCCAGCGGCACGCCTGTGAGTCCTGTGTGAACACTGTTCCCACAGGCACTCTGCCGCCCCCAAATGTCCTCCTCCTCCCCCCGTGTTTCCCCTGTCAAGGGGGGGGGGAGCGAGAGGTGATGGACACCCCCCCCCTGGTCGGGTGACAATCTCCATATCACAAGCGGCGAGGGAGGTGTGTCCTCTCTGCTCCCTCTCACCATGCGCCGTTTGCTGATGCCGGGAGCCGGAATATGATGTTATATTCCGCCTCCCAGCTACAGCAGACAGCCCGCGCGGCGCGAGAGAGCAGAGAGGACACAGCTCCCTCGCCGCTTGTGATATGGAGATTGGCGCCCAACCCACTGGACCCCAGGGACAAGTCCACGCCAGCTCTCCAGGTAGGGAGGCTGGGTGGACCATTTTTAATTAGAAAAAGATAATTTGTGTGTCTGTGAGTGTATGTGTGTGTGTGTGTCTGAGTGTGTGTCTTAGTGTGTGTAAGTGTCTGTGTGTGAGTGTCTGTGTGTGTGTCTGTGAGTGTGTGTGTCTGTGAATATGTGTGTGTGTGTGTGTGTGTGTGTACGTATATATATATATATATATATATATATATATACACACACACACACACACAAGTGTATATTATTTTTTGGGGGGGGTGGGAATCTTGGGAGAGTTCACACACTTTATTCCCCAGGATTGACCCCTGCTGGCAGGGGAGATCTCCGGATCTCCCCTGTCCGCTCATGCAGAGCTGGCGCTATCTGAGTGCCGGTTCTGCTCTAAGCCTCCATGGGCCTACGGGGAGATCAAAGATCTACCTCACTAGCCCACAGCAGCATGGAGGGAGGAAGGAGAGGACCCGGGGAGCTCTAGACAGAAGCTCTGCCAGGTTCCTCTCGCGAGATCTGAGCGTTGCTGTGGCAAGGCTCAGATCTCGTGAGAGTGAACTCTAGTTCCGCAGGCTAGAGTTCACTCTCCCTTGGACAACCAGGGATGGCACATGGCAGCAAGGATCCCCCCTCCCTACATAAGGTAAGAAGGGAGGGGGATTATTTACTAATCTTCCCCCACCTTCACAATCCCTCCAAACATACAGCACACACACACATACAGCACACACACACGTACAGCACCCACACACACACAGCACCCTAACACAAACAGCGTGCACACACAGCACCCTCACATACACAGCACACAAACAGCACCCTCACATACACAGCACACAGACAGCACCCCCACACACACATCACACAAACAGCACCCACACACATACAGCACCCACACACACAGCGCACACATAGAGCATCCTCACACACACACTCACAGCACCCTTACAAACACACACAGCACACTAACAGCACCCCCACACAAGCAGCACACACACAGCACACTAACAGCACCCTCACAGATACATGACACAAACAGCACACACACAGCACACTAACAGGACTCTAACACACATACACAAACACCCTCACACACAGCACACTACCAGCACCCTCACACACAGCACTCAACCAGCACCCTCACACACAGCACACAAACAGCACCCTCAAACACAAACCGCACCCTCACACACAGCACACAAACAGCATCCTCAAACACAAACCGCACCCTCACACGCAGCACACTATCAGCACCCTCACACACATATCACACTAACAGCACCCCACACACACACACACACACAGCACCCTCACACAGCGCACTAACAGCACACACACACAAACAGCAGTATATGAGTGTGTGTGTCTGTGTGTATATATATATACACACACACATGCGGCGTGTGTTTGTGCTTTAGGGTGCACACCCTAATGCAAAAGGCTGCGCACGCCTATGGTTATTTACTAACATGAACACAACTTTTAGGTCGATAATTTTCTATGTGTGCTTTTGGAGTTAATTTTACACTAAAATTACAAACTTTGCTACAGAAGGGAAATAGTTATTTATTTATTTTTTTCAAATATCTTGTTGTGGGATGAAACAGCCTAAGATTAATAGTGTGTATACCGTGACATCAGAGGCAGGCTGAATTTATCTTAATTAGTAAAGTCTGTAACTAATCATTTGGGACCATATTCACTTGAGGATGTCTTCCAATCTGTGCCCGTGGCACAAATCCTTATTGAATACAGTGCTTAATGAGCACTTTAAATAAGGCTGGGAATGTGACTATTCTAAGCTCAGTTCAAGTCGGTTGTGGAGAGAATCATGCCAAAGCTCAGTGATAATGTGTAATAAAGTGACAGCTCCCACAATCCCTTGTTTTATTAATGAGAAGTACCTCATTATAAGAGATAATGGGGACTCTGCTGGAAACATTACAGAAAGTGCATTAAAAAGTGATTAGTAGCACACATAGGATTCAAACAGTGCATTGTGTGTTTAGTGGGCACAGACAGTTAATAAGAGAGGGGAGAACTGACAGATGTCTGGTGCTGAAGAGAGAGTAGTATTTTTGAAGAGATACTGCACAGAGGTCAGACAGTAAAGGACACATTGTATCAGATGGCACTGCCAATGGGCAAATCGTTTCAGTGTTTCCCCTTGCAGGGATTAAGATTTGACTTGAAGAAGTGATGGCTCGGGTAAGACAGCTGTCAAACGAGGTCAACAAATAAAGGATTACAACAAAAAGAAAAGAAGCCACAGAGGCTGACTGCTAAGGAAAACAGCATAGACAAACTCCAGATCAACATCTGCATGCCAAATACAGATTATCACAGTGTTCTTGCTGAATCTCTAATAATGCTTAAGAAACTCTGAAAGTGTACGTGGGTTTATTGATAGCAGCACAGCTGACAGAACTAACTCTCTCTGACCGGGCCTTCTTGTATAGATGGTTAGATGTATTTCAGTACGATCAACAAGAAAGTGCACTGATGTTACAATTACCATATTCAGATTTTAAAAATGATTGTAGTTCAATGTTGGCTCAAACTAAAAGCATATGAAACATAATAAACAACAAGGGCCCCAGATGCTGTCATCATGCAGGCACATTCATACTCTGGAGAGCCAGAAGCAACCCTGAAGGAGAGAAGATAAAATAAATATATTCTGTAATAATAATAGTAAAAAAAGAAACATTAAAATCTATTGATTTTGATTTAATTTTTTTATATATATATATATATATATATATATATATATGTGTGTAGAGAGAGAGAGAGATATATATATATATATATATATACACACTGCTCAAAAAATAAAGGGAACACTTAAACAACACAATGTAACTCCAAGTCAATCACACTTCTGTGAAATCAAACTGTCCACTTAGGAAGCAACACTGGGTGACAATCAATTTCACATGCTGTTGTGCAAATGGGATAGACAACAGGTGGAAATTATAGGCAATTAGAAAGACACCCCCAATAAAGGAGTGGTTCTGCATGTGGTGACCACAGACCACTTCTCAGTTCCAATGCTTCCTGGCTGATGTTTTGCTGAATGCTGGCGGTACGTTCACTCTAGTGGTAGCATGAGACGGAGTCTACAACCCACACAAGTGGCTCAGGTAGTGCAGCTCATCCAGGATGGCACATCAATGCGAGCTGTGTCTGTCAGCGTAGTGTCCAGAGCATGGAGGCGCTACCAGGAGACAGGCCAGTACATCAGGAGACATGGAGGAGGCCGTAGGAGGGCAACAACCCAGCAGCAGGACTGCTACCTCTGCCTTTGTGCAAGGAGGAACAGGAGGAGCAATGCCAGAGCCCTGCAAAATGACCTCCAGCAGGCCAAAAATGTGCATGTGTCTGCTCAAACGGTCATAGCAGACTCCATGAGGGTGGTATGAGGGCCCGACGTCCACAGGTGGGGCTTGTGCTTACAGCCCAACACCGTGCAGGACGTTTTGGCATTTGCCAGAGAACACCAAGACTGGCAAATTCGCCACTGGCGCCCTGTGCTCTTCACAGATGAAAGCAGGTTCACACTAAGCACATGTGACAGACGTGACAGTGTCTGGAGACGCCGTGGAGATTGTTCTGCTGCCTGTAACATCCTCCAGCATGACCGGTTTGGCAGTGGGTCAGTAATGGTGTGGGGTGGCATTTCTTTGGGGGCCGCACAGCCCTCCATGTGCTTGCCAGAGGTAGCCTGAGTGCCATTAAGTACCGAGATGAGATCCTCAGACCCCTTGTGAGACCATATGCTGGTGCGGTTGGCCCTGGGTTTCTCCTAATGCAAGACAATGCTGGACCTCATGTGGCTGGAGTGTCAGCAGTTCCTGCAAGACGAAGGCATTGATGCTATGGACTGGTCTGCCCATTTCCCAGACCTGAATCCAATTGAGCACATCATGTCTAGCTCCATCCACCAACGTCATGTTGCACCACAGACTGTCCTGAGTTGGCAGATGCTTTAGTCCAGATCTGGGAGGAGATCCCTCAGAAGACCATCCGCCAACTTATCAGGAGCATGCACAGGCGTTGTAGGTCATACAGGCACGTGGAGGCCACACACTCTACTGAGCCTCATTTTGACTTGTTTTAAGGACATTACATCAAAGTTGGATCAGCCTGTATTTTAATTTTGAGTGTTACTCCAAATCCAGACCTCCATGGGTTGAAAAATTTGATTTCCATTTTTTTAATTTGTGTGTGATTTTGTTGATAGCACATTCAACTATGTAAAGAACAAAGTATTTCAGATCTAGGGTGTGTTATTTTTGTGTTCCCTTTATTTTTTTGAGTAGTGTATATATTTATCTATAGGCTGATAATTGTATATCTTACTTTCAAGTAAATTTTGTTTCCTTGGCACATGTCTCAGTTGCTTACCTTTCAACCTTTGTACAGCCGTGTTAAATGACTGTTTGTTTTACTTTATACAAGTTTGTGCAATACCTGTCAGTCTCATTAATATAATCTGTACATACTGTATGAGATTTAATGACTTTTTTTTTTACTGAATCTTAAGACTTAAGTTATATTTAAAGGAACACTATAGAATCAGGGACGCAAACATGTATTCCTGACCCTATAGTGTTAAAGCCGCCATTTGGCTTGTCCCGGTCACATCCTGTTCCTAGCTGCGGATCATTCTGGCTATGGCTTCTGGTATCCAGTACTCTTTTTACAATTCTTGTTTTGTTTTTCTTGGTTTTTCTGGTTTTCTATTCTATGTCTGGTTTTCTTTATGCTGGGTTTTCTGGGTTCATTCCTTTTATTCCATCCCTGGATTTCCCAGTCTCTTGGATTCATTTAAATGTTTGTTTTATGTTGCCACACCCATTTGTTTTCCTTTTGTTTCAGTGTTCCTGCAGGCAGCTGCTCAAGGCTTCTGCCCTTTCTTGCAGGTAAGTGCTATATGTGTCTTCTTTGGTTGGTTTAGCTTACATTAGGCAGAGAAGGACCTGCCAAAGATGGGGTACATTGGCGTTGTTGGCAGGCTTAAGCAATGTATGATCATATAATGTGACTAAATCCCCATGATTTTTCATATATAGTACTTGGTTATTTCTCCTCTTGTTTTGCCGTGTATCTCTTGTCTTGTTTTATTTTGTCTTGTATTCCCAGTTCATGTACAGTCCTGTCCTGCCCTGTCCTGTTCTTGTTTTCCTCATGTCTTGTGTACATGTTCTGGGTTCTGCTTTCTGTCCTGCTCCAGTTCTGGGT